TGAATGGAACGCCTATCCAATATCAATGAAGTTTTATGAGACTTGTATTCATAGATTAGTAGTAGTAGGAGTAGATGGGAGAGGGGGTTGAGGTTTCGTATCGGCTACCCATTATGGAAAACCACCAATAACGCCATGCCATAGTCATAATAATAACTTAGCTATGCTAAATACTAATTTAAATATGAATTGTCGTTTTTTTTATTTTCGATGTGGTTATAAATAAAATTCCATATTCAGAAGAAGACGTTGACCAGGGTAGGTAAACAGGGCTCAAAATTGTCATACGCAAAAAATTAAAAATAAAATCTCAATAAACAGAGATTTGACAGAAGACTTGCTAAATGATTTGGCAAATTTGAGACGAAGACCTCTTCTCCTCTCCCTCTCTCCGCAGCCTCTCTCTATTTTTGTCACCTATTATTCATTGTTATTATGAATTGTTTTCCCTTTGTAGAAAATACCTCACGGGAATTTTTCGCTAACAAAGATTGATTCAATTAAATTTTGTGTCTGGTAAAAATTAACATATATTATTGCGTTTCGTTATTGAGCGAAATTGGCACACATCGATGCCGGCAAACCAATTGATGGTGAAAATTTATAACGGTTGGCTTTGATCCAATTTGATCGGAGGTGGAGGTGAAAGATGTTAAAAGGTGCCGTTTGTCGCGATTTTTTTATTATTCATGTTAAACGTCATCTGTATATTTCACAATATCGATTAATAATGGGATACGTGTGCCGGGCAGAAATTGTCACAGTAAAAATTTTTTTTTTGATGTGAAAAAATATTTTTAGAAGTATACATTTTTTTTGGGTTATTTACACTTGATATTTTTTTTTTACTATATCTTCAATATTTGTTCAGATGCATCGATATACCTTGAAGCATTTTTCAAGCTTAAATATTTATCTTTCAAAATTACTTTATTTCATCGAAATATTCCCAATATTACCAAAGATATGGCCTTCATAACAAGGTTACTCAAAAATGTATGAAAACGCCAAAATTTCAGTAATCTTGTATTTTTGGCGATATTTCGGATTTTTGGTCGGCGACATTCGGAAATTTAACCATATTTTGAAAGAACAGATGTCTCTCTTTCTATAACAGGCACTTTCACTAATATAACTTCACTATTTCCAAAGTTATGACCACAACAATAGGACTACTGAAATATGTGACGATATTGGAAATTAGGAACACTTGACATTTTTTGAAATTTTTTGACATATCTGCACTACTTGACAAGACACTTCAAAAAAATTCGGATAATTTTCGAAGATTAGATATTTCTCTTTCAAAATTACTTTATTTCATCTAATTATTCCCAAAATTTCCAAAGTTATGGGCCTCAAAACAGGGTTACTCAAAAATGTATGAAAACGGAAAAATTTCAGCAATGTTGTATTTTTGGCGATATTTCGGATTATTGGTCAGTGACATTCGGAAATTTAACCATATTTTGAAAGAACAAATGTCCCTCTTTCTATAACCGGTACTTTCACCAATATACCCTCAATATTTCCTAAGTTATGGCCATTAGAGTAGGACTACTGAAATATACGACGATATTGGAAATTACGAACACTTGTCATCTTATGGCTATATCTTCATTATTGGTCCAGACATCAGTAAAACTTGGATAATTTTCGAAGATTAAATATTTCTCTTTCAAAATTACTTTATTTCATCGAAATATTCCAAATATTTTCAAAGTTATGGCCCTCAAAACAGGGTTACTCAAAAATATAAGAACATGAAAAAAATCTAAGCAATGTTGTATTTTTGGCAATATTTCGGGTATTTGGTAACCCATATCCAGATATTTTACCATATTTTGAAAGACCTTATGTCTCCTTACCTATTACATGTACTTTCACAAATATATTGCGATTATTTCAAAAGTTATGGCCTCTAGAAAATGGTTACTGATAGAATACGAACATATCGAAAATATGATTTCTTTCATATTTTCGACTATATCTCCATTATTTGGTCAGACACATTACTAAAACTTGAAATATTTCGGAAGATTAAATATTTATCTTTCAAAATTATTTTATTTCATCGAAGTATTCCAATTAGATTTAAAGTTATGGCCTTCAAAACAGGGTTACTCAAAAATCTAAGAAAATGAAAAATTTTTAGCAATCTTGTATTTTTGTGGATATTTCGAAATTTTGCGGAGCGACATCCAAATATTATGGCATATTTTGAGAGACCAGATGTCTCTCTTTCTATAACATATACTTTTACCAATATATTCCCATTATTTCCAAAGTTATGGCCTCTGGAAATAGGTTAATGAAAAAATACAAAGAAATCGGAAATATGAGTACTGGCTCATTTTGCCATTATCTCCATTATTTTGCTCAGACATGTTAGTAGAACCCAAAATATTTTCGAAGATAAAATGTTTCTCTTTCAATATTGCTTTATTTCATTAAATTATTCCAACTATTTCCGGAATTATGGTCTCCAGAACATGGTGACTCAACACACAACACATGTTTTTTTTTTTTTTTTGTTTCTCGAGATTTCCAAGAAATGATGACATTGTCCACACGACAGCGTGTGTACAATTTATTGCAACTATTTCCGGAATTATGGTCTCCAGAACATGGTGACTCAACACACAACACATGTTTTTTTTTTTTTGTTTCTCAATATTTCCAAGAAATGTCGCACAGATATTCATCTGGTCTATTATAAATTGGACTTAACAAATCAGAATATAAAAAAACTATCACATTTAATTGAAGACATCATCAATAAATAAATATATTTTCTGATTCATTCAATCACGATCTTCTCTAATCATGTCACATAACCTACAAATCGATTTGCATCAGCAATAAATTGTTCACACGACGACAGCGCATTTATATCTCAATTATTTAATAGCAAGTGAAGAGGAGTAACCGTTAGCTTATTTCAATGTAATAATTATTTTATTTTTTTAGAAGGGAATCGAACGTCATTGCTTAAAATTACTTGTGGTAATTTGAAAAAAAAAATTAAAATTAATTTTCAATTGCCAATATGCAATCATGATAATGATTATCATTGCGAATGATTGAATAAAATTGTTAGGATTTTGTGATTTTAATCACGAATGCGTTAAGCACCCATGAAGAATCAAATAAAATTGGAAATGCACATGCGACGACGACTACTAATGTTCTAGGTTATCAAATCGATTGACGTATAAATGACAAGGTAACACGTTCAGTGTTTTAATTGACAACGTTTGCTAAATGGTGTCTGGCCACACATCAAATTAAAAATAGGAGGGTTTTGGAAAATAAGGACATTAGACAATTTTGGCTATATCTTAATTATTTGTTCAGATGCATCGATATACCTTGAAAATAAATATCAATATTACTTTATTTCAATAAAATATTCTAAATATTTCCAAAGTTATGTCACTCTAAACAGGGTTACTCAAAAATGACGGAAAACGCATAAATATCAGGAAACTTTTAATTTTCGCGATATCTCAAATTTTTACTCAGCGACATCCAGATATTTAACCATTTCTTGAAAGAACAGATGTCCCTCTTTCAACAACATACATGTTTCACCAATGTACCTCTACTATTTCCAAAGTTGTGGCCCTCAAAACAGGGCTACCCAAAAATGTAAGAAAAGGCAAAAACTTCAGCAATTTCGTAATTTTGGCGATATTTCGACTATTTATTTTTACTCAGCGACATCAAAATATATTATCATATTTTAAAAGAAAAGATTTTCCTCTTTCCTTAGGATGTGTTTTCGCAAATATATTCCCAATATTTCTAAAGTTATAGCCACTAGATTGGGGTTACTGAACATTTTGAAGATATTGGAAATTACGAACACTTAACAATTGTTGGCTATATTTTCATTATTTGTCCAGATGCATCGAAATAACTTGACACATTTTTGAAGACCGAGAATCTATCTTTCCAAATTACTTTATTTCATCAAAATATTTCAAATGATTCTCAAGTTATGGCCGCCAAAACAGGGTTTCTCAAAAATCAAAGAAAATGGAAAAATTTCGACAATCTTACATTTTTGGCGATATCTCAATTTTTTCTCAGCGGCATCAAACTATATAGTAAATTTTTGAAAGAACAGATGTCCCTCTTTCTATAACATGTATTTTCACCAATATACCCTCACTATTTCCAAAGTTATGGCCACTAGAACAGGGTAACTGGAAATTTTTAATATATTGGGAATTTAGAACTCCTTACAACTTTTGGCCATATCTCCATTATTTGTTCAGATGCATCGATATACCTTGAAGCATTTGTAAAGCTTAAATATTTATCTTTCATAATTACTTTATTTCATCAAAATATTCCAAAGGATTCCAAAGTTATGACCCTCAAAACAGGGTTACTCAAAAATTTAAGAAAACGCCGAAATATCAGCAACCCTGTAATTTTGGCGGTATCGCGTATTTTTACTCAGCGACATCCTGATATTTAACCATATTTTGAAAGAACAGATGTCCCTCTTTCAACAACATGTATGTTTCACCAATATACCCTCACAATTTCCAAAGTTATGGCCGCGAGAATAGGGATACTGAAAAATAGGAGGATTTTGGAAATTAAGAACACTTGCGAAGTTTTGGCTATATCTCTTTTATTTGTTCAGATCCATCGATATACCTTGAATTGTTTCTGAAACTTAAATATTTATCTTTCAAAATTACTTTATTTTATCGAAATATCTCCAAAATTTCCAAAGTTATGACCCTCAAAACAGGGTTACTCAAAAATATAAGAAAACGCAAAAATGTCACTAATCTTGTAATTTACTATAACTTCTCTGTGTAAACATAATTTAACTTTTTGTATAATCCTATTTAAACTCCAAATAATAATTTATTTTACTTCTCTTCTTTTCATTTTCAGAATCTCATCTCTGCAAAAAACATATTAAACGGACAACAAATCCCTTTAAAAAAAACCTGGAAAACCCCCTGACAATATCAAAATGCCCAATTTTAGTTTTCTAAATCGCTTTCAACCGGCCCCACTGTATATCGTTTTATTTCTCTCGATATGCTATTTCAGTGTTCAATTGATATTGAGCCATTTGACGCATGCTCTCACACTGCTAATGGCCTCCTATCATATGTTGTGCAATATTCTTGCACTGGCCGGCAGCATAGTGACCATAAAGGTAAGTTATGTTGATCAACATAGAAAAAACAAAATAATAAATAAATACAACAACATGGAAACAAGTCCAATGTCTTGGGACCATAAAACATTAAAAACGACTAATTTAGTTAGTGACTGATCTCATTAGCCACTTCTTGTTGACAAAAGGCAGCAAAACAATATATTGACAAATTAATTTGAAGAAATTAAGAACGCTTGACAAGTTTTGGCTATATCACCATTATTTGTACAGATGCATCGATATACCTTGAAGCATTTTTGAAGATTAAATAGTTATCATTCTAAATTACTTTATTTCAATGAAATATACCCAGTATTTCCAAAGTTATAACCTTAAAAAACAGGGTAACTCAAAAATGTATGAAAACGCAAAAATTTAAGTTACCCTGTAATTTTGGGCATATCCTGAATTTTTTCTCAGCTACATACAGATATTTTATCATATTTTGAAAGAAAAGATGTCCCTCTTTCAAAATCATAAACTTTCACCAATATACCAACACTATTTTCAAAGTTATCACCACTAGAACAGGGTTACTGAAAAATCGGAGGATTTTGGAAATTAAGAACCCATGACAAGTTTTGGCTATATCCCGATTATTTATCCAGATGCATCGATATACCTTGAAACATTTTTGAAGATTAAATATTTATCTTTCATAGTTTCTCTATTTCATCAAAATATTCCCAATTATTCCAAAGTTATAGCCCACAAAACAGGGTTACTCAAAAATTTAAGAAAACGCAAAAAAATCAGCAATCTTGCAATTTTAGCGATATATCGAATTTTTGCTTAGCGACATTAAGATATTTTATTACAGTTTGTAAGAACAGGTGTCCCTCTTTCTAAAACATGTATTTTCACCAATATATTCCCATTATTATCAAAGATATGGCCACTAGAAAATTATTAGTGAAAAAAATGAAGAAATCAGAAATACGAATACTTGCGTATTATCGGCTATATCTTCATTATTTGGTCCGAATCATTCCTAAAACTGGAAATGTTATCCATAATTAAAGCTTCCTCTCTCCATAAAATGCCTTCTTATTAAATTATTCCTAATACTTCCCGAGTTATGGTCTTCAGAACATGGTTACTCAAAAAAATAAAGGAAACTGCAATTTTTAAGTACCTGTCAATTTTTGGGGTTATTTCGAATTTTTCCACAGTGACATAAATATAATCTACTACAGATTAAATGATTAGATGTTTCTCTTTCTTAAGAGTACTACTTTTCTCAATATACTCCCACTAGTTCTAAAGTTATGGCCTCTAGAAAATAATTACTGAAAAAATAGAAAAAATCGGAAATTTGAACACTTGCATATTTTTGCCTGTATATCAATTTTTTTGGTCGGAAACATCAGTGAAACTTGAAATATTTTCGAAAATGAAATGTTTATCTTTCAAAATTACTTTATTTCATCGAAATATTCTATATATTTTCAAAGTTACGATCGCCAAAACAGGGTTACTCAAAAATGTAAGAATACCCAAAAATGTCAGTAATCTTGTATTGTTGGCAATATTTCGGATATTTGGTCAGCGACGTGCAGATATCTTAGCATATTTTGAAAGATCAGATGTCTCCGTATCCATTACATGTATTTGCACCAATATATTCCCATTACTTCTGAAGTTATGGCCTCTGGAAAGAGATTACTGAAAAAATCCCAAGATATTGAAAATACGATTACTGTCATATTTTGGCAATATCTTCATTATTTGTTTAGATTTATGAGTAAAACTCGAAATATTTTCCAAAATTAAATGTTTATCTTTCAAAATTTCTTTACTTCATCGAAATATTCCAAATATTTCCAAAGTTATGATCGCCAGAACAGGGTTACTCAAAAATGTATGAAAACACAAAAATGTCAGTAATTTTGTATTTTTGGTGATATCTCGGATATTTGGTAAGCGACTTCTAAATATTTTATCATATTTTGAAAGATCACATGTCTCCTTATCTATTACATTCACTTTCACTAATATATTTCCATTATTTCCAAAGTTATGGCCCCTGGAAATAGATTATTGAAAAAATCCGAAAATATTGGACATCCTAGTACTGGCGCATTTTGACAATATATCTATTACTTAGCGAGACACATCAATCAAAATCAATATGTTTTGAAAGATTAAATATCTATCTTTCAAAATTACTTTATTTCATTGAATTATTCCCAATATTTCCGGAGTTATGACCTCCAGAACATGGTGACTCAAAAAATATAAGAAAACGTAACATTTTCAAAAGTTGTAAATTTTTACCGATAACTTCAGTGATGCCGACATATTTATGTAAAAAATATTATTATCGATATATAGATTCCCAAATTAATATTTCAGAATTCCATTTGTTTTAATTTTGAAATTTAATTGTAAAATTTAGTATTACAAAATCCCTTCCACATTATTACATGATGGTGATGGTGGTCGGACTTACATCTAAACCTTGTAACCCCTACCCTTTTGTTTCATTTTTTCGATTCGCATGCAAAATACAACAAAGAGGTTTCCTCCTACCGTATTGAACGTTTTATATTTTTTTCGAAAATTTGTTTTTGGCTCGTGCTTTAAAAATATCACGTTTTCTATTGTTATTTGGCCAAGTTTTGGTGTTTGTTTTGGTTCAATTGTTGCTGTTGTCACATTGTGTGTTTCTGAGTCAGAAATGAACGTACCTATATTGTTGGCATTTAATTATATGTTACGCACATTTAATATTTTTGTATTGAAACATTTTTTGAATAATGACAATATTTAACCCTTTTTGAAATACTAGAAAAAATAAAATTTTTATAGGGAAATGTTTCACTGTTGATGGGATTAAAGCAGGTTTAGACTATGGATTTTATCGTGATTTTAAATATTATTTTTTGATTTGCTGAATTGATTTTCCGCATATACCCCGTTCTTTTATTCAAAAAAATATCACGTAATCTCAATTTGTTGGAAATCCTTGCGAAATCGAGATGATCGCAAATACAACTCTGATTGTATGTACCAAAACTAGGCATCACTTTTCCTCTAAAGTAACAAAATGGCAACACTTCATGTGTGTGTGTCATTTCCATATTTTTTTAATGTCAAAAAGAATCCAAAACAGGTATTTCATTTTGCCCAGCTGACTATCCTATTAACTGTCAAAGTGCATTGCTTCGAAGTGGAATGTTGCCAACCATGAAAAATATTGCTAGATAAAATTTGACAGATGGTCGAATAAAAAACATTTGTTTTTGTTTTAAAACATCACCTTATTATTGCATAATTTTCCTTAATATAGACTGTCTAGGTCCCCTGTAAACCTAATTTTATTACTACTCATTTAGCCATGAAGGGGTTAATTACATATTAAATGCACATTTAGACACATGTTTAATTTTTTTCTTTGTATTTTTTTTTTAAAAAATTTTTTTTGGAATCCCAACTAGGCTTTATTAGCAATCCATCATACCAAGGCTTCCGTAATGAACTCGGGGTTTGTTGTCTTTATTTAATTGTTTTTGTTTAGCTTGGTTTTGTGAACTATTGAAATTCGAGTGTTTTTGTGGAGGGTGGAGTGCGTGCAGCCGCAATCGATGAAGCGTAAACAAAACTCTTTTATATAGCTAATTTGTTTTTAATAAAGCGTATAATATATGCATGTATGTATATAAACAATACTTCTACTGTGGGAGAAAATTTGCAAAAAGAAACTGAAAATATTTTTGAGAACTTATTTATTCGATTTGCTGATAATTTTGGGCTATATCTCCATTATTTGGTCAGACTGATCACTGAAACTTATAATATATTAGAAAATTAAATGTTCCCCTTTCTGCACAATGCTTTCGCATTAAATTATTCCCAATACTTTCCGAGTTATGATCGCCACAACAGGGTTACTCAAAAATGTAAGAAAATGAAAAAATGTCAGCAATCTTGTATTGTTGGCAATATCTCGAATATTTTGGTCAGCGACATCTAGATATTTTAACATATTTCAAGAGATCAGATGTTCCTCTTTCTAAAACATGTTATTTCACCAATATACTTGCAATAATTTCAAAGTTATGGCCTCTTGAAAAGGATTACGGAAAAAATACGAAACATTCTGAAATACGAATACTTGAAAATATTGACGACATCTATATTATTTCTTCAGACAGATCGCTGAAACTTGAAATATTGTCGAAGATTAAATGTTCCTCTTTCCATACAATGCCTTTTTATAAAATTATTCCTAATACTTCCCGAGTTATGATCGCCAGAACAGGGTTACTCAAAATATAAAGAAAACTGCAAATTTTCAGTAGTTGTAAATTTTTGGCGATATTTCGAATTTTTCCACAGCGACATCTATATATTCTATTACAGATTTAATGATTAGATATTTCTCTTTCTAAAAAAAAATATTTCCTCAATATATTCCCACTATTTCGGAAGTTATGGCCTCTAGAAAATGATTACTGAAATATATAGAAAAACTCGAAAAATGGAACATTTGAGTATTTTCGGCAATATATCCATTATTTGGTCAGACACATGAAACTTGACATATGAACGTACCTATATTGTTGGCATTTAATTATATGTTACGCACATTTAATATTGTTGTATTGAAACATTTTTTGAATAATGACAATATTTAACCCTTTTTGAAATACTAGAAAAAATAAAATTTTTATAGGGAAATGTTTCACTGTTGATGGGATTAAGCATACTATGGATTTTATCGTGATTTTAAATATTATTTTGATTTGTTGATTTTCCGCATATACCCCGTTTTTTTATTCAAAAAAATATCACGTAAAAAAATTGAAAAATGGAACATTGTATGTACCAAAACTAGGCATCACTTTTCCTCTAAAGTAACAAAATGGCAACGCTTCATGTGTGTGTCATTTGCATATTTTAAATGTCAAAAGGATTACGGAAAAAATACGAAACATTCTGAAATACGAATACTTGAAAATATTGACGACATCTATATTATTTCAAAATTGAAACTTGAAATATTTCGAAGATTAAATGTTCCTCTTCATACAATGCATTTTTATAAAATTATTCCTAATACTTCCCGAGTTATGATCGCCAGAACAGGGTTACTCAAAATATAAAGAAAACTGCAAATTTTCAGTAGTTGTAAATTTTTGGCGATATTTCGAATTTTTCCACAGCGACATCTATATATTCTATTACAGATTTAATGATTAGATATTTCTCTTTCTAAAAAAAAATATTTCACAAATATACATTCAGTAATTTCAAAGTTATGGCGTCTTGAAATAGATTACTGTACAAATAGAACAAATCGCAAAAGTGGAACACTTGCATATTTTCGGCAATATATCCATTATTTGGTCAGATACATCACTAAAACTCGAAATATTTTCGAATATTAAATATTTAACTTTCAAAATTACTTTATTTCATCGAAATATTCCTAGCATTTCCAAAGTTATGATCGCCAGAACAGGGTAACACAAAAATGTCGGAAAATGGAAAAATCTAAGTAATCTTTTATTGTTGGCAATATCTCGAGAATTTGGTCAGCGATATCTGGATATTTTACCATATTTGGAGAGATCAGATGTCGCTCTTTCTAAAACATGTAATTTCACCAAAATAATTGCACTAATTTCAAAATTATGACCTCTGAAATTTGATTACTGAAAAAATATGAAGCATTCTGAAATCTGAATACTTGCGTATTTTCGGCTATATCTAAATTATTTGCTCAGACACATCAATTAAATTTGAAATATTGTCGAAGATTAAATGTTCCTCTTTCCATCGAATGTATTTTTATAAAATTATTCCTAATACTTCCCGAGTTATGATCGCCAGAACAGGGTTACTCAAAAAATAAAAATAACTGAACATTTCCAGCAGTTGTAAATTTGTGGCGATATTTCGAATTTTTCCACAGTGACATCAATATATTCTACTACGGATTTAAAAATTAGATGTTTTTTGGTGATATTTTCTATTTTAAAGTTATGATCAGAAAATGATTACTGAAAAAATAGAAAAATCGATGGAAGATATATACAAATATATTTTGAATATATTCATGAAATCATAAAATATATACATATATAAAATATTGATAATTTGTTCCCATATTTTTAATTTTTAAATAAAAAATATTTTTATTTGTCTATATATCATTGAAATTATAATATATGCAAAAATCGCAAAAATCATACAAAAACAAATGATAAAAACAAACCATAGCTTGTTTTATATTTCACGCACATAAATTAAAATATATAAAACATTGATAATTAATTTATGCTTTACCCACTTTTTTGTCGTTGGCGTTTGAAGAATTGCCAAGTTTGGTGGTCAACGATGAGGGACAGACAGACAGTCAAGTAGTATAAATTAAATTTGGTGTATGGTTTAAAAAAAGAAACATAATTTGTAGGTTATGAATTAGTTTTATAGATAATATAAACCACTAGGTAATATAAACCACTAAAAAGATCATTCAGATATTTAAAATCGTATAAAATATTTAAAGAATCTTAAGGCGTATTTAGACTATAGGTTTTTCTATTTAATTACTAAATTGACAAAAATGTAAACAAAAATCAGCTGATCGATTTTTATATCAGTTTAATACTAGTCTAAACAGACTGGATTTAATATCTCGATTTAGAAATCATGTAGATTTAGAAAGCATAGTCTAAAGGCACCTTTAGATGAGCTTCTATTAGAATTATAAAAACTATTGGAAAGATATTCCCATGTGCTTTCAAAAAATGGACACAGAAATTCTAAAACCAATAAAATGTGTATATGTACGTAAACAAATATCAGCTGACTGACAACTTTATATAATTTTGATTTTGAATTATAAAAACAATTGGAAAGATATTCCCATGTGCTTTAAAAAAAATGAAACAGAAATTCTAAAAACCAATAAAAGTTTGTATATGTACGTAAATAAATATCAGCTGACCGACAAGATGATATCATTTTGAATACTAGTCTAAACAGCTGGGATTTAGTATCTCAATTTACAAAGCAAGTCGATTGGTATAAGGTATAGTCTAAACGAGCTTTGTAGTACGTTTACATTGTTCCGGATTACGTTAAACAAGTGGGTTTATATTGTAGTAACAGCTGATTAATACACCCAGCTGATTCGATTGAGTCACCCTGTTCCGGAGACCATAACTTTGGAAATATTGAGAATATTTTATTGAAATAACGCAATTTCGAAAGATAAATACTTAATCTTCAAGTTGTCTCAATCTATATCGATGCATCTGAACAAATAATAAAGATATGGGCAACCTTTATGAAGTGTTTTTTTAAATTCTAATACCCTAATTGCCTTTCAGTAGCCTCATTCTAAAACGTTGAAAATATGCCGAATATATTTGTGAAAAAAACATGTTAAAGAAAGAGGGAAATCCGATCTTTCAAAATGTGATAACATTTCTAAATTTCGCTGTGCAAAAATTCGAGATATCGCCAAAAATACAAGATTACTGAAATTGTTTATGTTTACTTCAATTTTTGAGTAACCCTGTTCGAGAGACCATAACTTGGGAATTATTTGAAATATTTTGATGAAATAAAGTAATTTTGCAGTTGATCTTCCTGTATGACCTTCTTAATATACCAATCTTTGAACTTAATTCACAATAATATATTTTAACAGCAAGTATGAGCAACAGCTGATTAATTCAAACAGCTGACTGATTCAAAAATGTTCTTAAATTTTTGTGTAACCCTGTTCTGAGGGCCATAAATTGGAAATTATTTGGAATATTTCATTGAAATAAAGTTATTTTGAAAGATAAATATTTAATCTACAAAAATTCTTCAAAGTATATCGACACATCTGAACAAATAATAAAGATATAACCAAAAACTTGACAAGTATTCATAATTTCCAATATCTTCCAAAATTTCATTAGCCTCATTCTAGTGGCCATAACTTTGGAAATTATGGGAATATATTGGCGAAAATACATATTATAGAAAGAGGGACTTCTGGGCTCTTAGAAAATAATAATAAAGGTTAAGGTCGCTAAGTAGAAAATTCAAAATATCGCCAAAAATACTAGATTACTAAAATTATTATGTTTTCTTCAATTTTTGAGTAACCCTGTTCTGAGGGCCATAACTTGGGAATTATTTGGAATATTTTTTATGAAATAAAGTAATTTTGAAAGATATATATTTAAGCTTCAAAAATACTTCAAGGTATATCGATGCATCTGAACAAATAATAAAGATATAGCCAAAACTTTACAAGTATTCATAATTTCCAATATCTTCCAAATTTTCAGTAGCCTCATAACTTTGGAAATAATGGGAATATATTAGTGAAAATACATATTATAGAAAGAGGGACATCTGAGCTTTTAGAATATAATAATACATTTTAATGTAGCTGAGTAAAAAATTCAAGATATCGCCAAAAATACAAGATTACTAAAATTATTATGTTTTCTTCAATTTTTGAGTAACCCTGTTCTGAGGGCCATAACTTGGGAATTATTTGAAATATTTTGATGAAATAAAGTAATTTTGAAAGAGAAATATTTAATCTACAAACGTACTTTAAGGTATTTCGATGCATCTGAACAAATAATAAAGATATAGCCAAAACTTTGCAAGTATTCATAATTTCCGATATCTTCCAAATTTTCAGTAGCATCATTCTAGTGGCTATAACTTTGGAAATACTGGGAATATATTAGTAAAAATACATATTATAGAAAGAGGGACGTCTGGGCTCTTAGAATATAATCATGTATTTTAATGTCGCTGAGGAAAAAATTCGAGATATCTCCAAAAATACAAGATTACAGAAATATTGTATGTTTTCTTCAATTTTTGAGTAACCCTGTTCTGAGGGTCATAACTTGGGAATTATTTGAAATATTTCGATGAAATAAAGTAAATGTGAAAGATATATATTTAAGCTTCAAGGTATATCGATGCATCTTAACAAATAATAAAGATATAGACATAACTTGACAAGTATACAAAATTGTCAATATCCTTCAACGTTTTTGATTAATTTTTTTTAATTAATTTTTCCATTTTTTCTTCCCTTTTCTCCCCCATAGCACAATGAATTACACAATAGTGACGAGGAAAAACGTTATTCCGAAACGAATTTAAATAAAAATGACAGTACATCAGAAAAAATGACAGCTGTGGATGGGATTGTCAGTGTTGCCGTTGCGGCGACCAACGAAACTGAGATACAGCTGCGTGAAAGAAAGAGACGAGAACAAAAAACGCGCAACACTTTTGGCTGGGCCCGCATAGAAATTTTGACCATGTTAATAATATGTATTACCCTGGCATCGCTGTCATTCTCTCTCCTGGTAGAGGCCCTGCAGACCCTGGTCCACATTGATCATCAAGATTCAATGCATTTGCCGGTACATGTAATGATTCTCGGAGTGGTTGGTTTACTACTGAATGGTTTCACTTATATCCTAATTGGTGGTTATACCCTGCATCAGGGTAATTTCTTACACATTAATCCAATGGGTAATGTTGTCGTGGAGGCATCAAATATCACAGTAGAAACGAATGGTTTGACAAAGGGAAATGCTGGTGATCATCAATTGAAAGAAGATCTGAAAGCGGAATTGGGAAAGGTTCATTATCGTACAAGACGTGAAGGACCTGCGGAATTGTTGCGTGATCTTTCCAGTACAATATTTGTTATTGTGTGTGCTGTAATTGTCCACTTTGCCAAGGATAAGGAGCATACAGCGAAATTTATTGATCCGGTATTGTCGATATTTTCATGTGTCCTGGTTGTGGCTCTCAGTTATCCATATAGTAAGTATAGATATAGATTTTTTTTAAATATGTTTATGCTAAAAGAATTCATTAACAAAATTTATAAACAACGAGTCTTTATGTCACCCAGTGAGATCAGCTGTTTCTCATACCAGCTGACCTTTTAATAAGGTGACTCATAAAACCAAAAACAGCTGTTTTTCAGTTCTCTTCGTGTTTTTCTGGAGTCACCATGTTCTGAAGACCATAACTCCGAAAATATTGGGTTAATTCGATAAAATAAAGTAATATTGAAAAAGAAACACTTAATCTATGAATTTTACTGATTTACTGATCATGTCTGAACAAAAAATGAAAATATTGCAAAAATTCGCAAGTATTCATATTTTTGGTTTCTTTGGATTTTTTCCGTATTGATTTTCTAGTGGCCATAATTTTTGAAATATTAGGAGTATATGGGTGAAAGAACATGTTATAGAAAGATGGATATCTGGTCTTTCAAAATGTGGTAAAATATTTAGATGATGCTGACCAAAATATTCGAGTTATCGGCAAAAATACAAAATTGATTAGATTTTTTCATTTTTTTTTATTTTTAAGTAACCCTATTTCGGGGACCATAACGTGGGAAATATTTCGAATATTTCGATTAAATAAAGTAATTTCGAAAGATAAATACTTAAGCTTTAAAAATGGCTCAAGGTATTTCGATGCATCTGAACAAATAATGAAGATATAGTCAAAACTTGGCAAGTAATCTTAATTTGCAATATCCTGCAAATTTTCAGTAACCCCATTCTAGTGGCTATAACTCTGGAATTATGAGAAATATATTGGTGAAAATGCATGTTATTAGAAGAGGGACATCTGATCTTTCAAAATAAGATAAATTATATAGATGTCGCTGAGTAAAACTTCGAGAGTTCGCAAAAAATAAGAGATTGCTTAGATTTTTACGTTTTCTTAAATTTTTGAGTAACCCTGTTCTGAGGGCCATAACTTGGAAATTTTTTGGAATATTTCGATGACGTAAAGTGATTTCGAAAGGTAAATATTTAAGCTTCGAAAATATGACAAGTTATATCAATGCATCTGAACAAATAATAAAGATATAGCCAATATTTGCCATGTGCACTTAATTTTACATATCTTCCAAATTTTCAGTAATCCCATTCTAATGACTATAACTTTGGAAATATTGGGAATATATGGGTGAAATTACATGTTATAGAAAGAGAAACATCCGGTCTTTCAAAATGTGATAAAATATCTGAATGTCGCTGAGGAAAAAATCGAGATATCGCCAAAAATGCAAGATTGCTGATAATTTTGCATTTTCTTACATTTCTGAGTAACCCTGCTCTGAAGGCCATAACTTACGAAATATTAGGAATATATTGATGAAAATAGATGTTATGAAAAGAGGGACATCTGATCTTTCAAAATAAGATAAATTATGTAGATGTCGCTGAGTAAATATTCGAGATATCGTCAAATAACAAGAATACTGGAAGTTTTATGTTTTATCATATTTTCGAGTAACCCTGTTCTGAAGGCCATAACTTTCCAAATATTTGGAATATATTGGTAAAAATGCATGTTATGGAAAGAGGGGTATTTGGTCTTTCAAAATGTGATATAATATTAGGAAGACCCTGAGCAAAAAATCGAGATATCGCCAAAAATACTATATTACTGAAATTTGTATGTTTTTTTTTTTAATTTTTGGGTAAACCTGTTCTGAGGGCCATAACTTGGGGTTTTTTTGGAATATTTCCATAAAGTAAAGTGATTTCGAAAGATAAATATTCAAACTTCAAAAATGCTTCAAGAAATATCGATGCATCGGAACAAATAATAAAGATATAGACCAAACTTAATGAAAACACATAACCTAAGCTTACTTAAAATAATTTCCTTTATAATAATCTCTTTTCTTTCCTCCTATTTTTTCCAGTGAAGGAAGCCTGTATGATACTGCTGCAAACGGTGCCCGGTACAATTGATATGGAAAATTTCGAACGTAATTTGGTTACAAAATTCCCTCAAATCGTCAGTTATCACGACTTGCATATCTGGCAGTTATCCTCCCATAGTTATATTGCCACCATCCACATAATTTTCAAAACTCCCAAATTGTATGAGAAAACCATAGAAGATGTCAAGTCCCATTTCCAAGAGCATCGTATAGCTCATGTTACCATCCAGCCTGAATTTCAAGCTGAGGGTGCTGCAATGCCGGCAATTGAGGGTGCGGCAAAAAATTCCATGGAATGTTTAATGCAATGTCAAAATCCCGATTGTGCGGATAAGTTGTGTTGTAAAGATTCTCAGGCAGATTTGCGGGAGGTTAGTGTGTGTGATGGTCATGGTCATGGTAAAAAATCGAAGAAACATCACAATCATCATCATGGTCATGATCATCACGGGCATGGTCATAGTCATGCTCATGGTCATAGCCACAATAAGAAAAAGGCCGCAACAAGCCATAAACATGGGAAATCATGTTCGAAATCAGTGACAAAGAATGACAGTTCGAGTGCCATGGAAATGGGAAAACAAGAGGAGATTTCGGTTGATTCCGCCCAACAAGTTCCTATGAAAGAAGAAGACAATTTAGAAGAAACCCCAACTCAAACAGCTCCCAGTAGCACAGCTACCGCAAAGACTGAGTTAGCTTCGGTAGGTTGTGATGATAAAACGACGGAGGCCAGTAATGATCAAAACCAAACAACCTGTTCAGATTTAAGCGACACAACTAAATGTTAAGAATTATTGTTTTTAATTTTTTATTTTAATTTTGTATTGAAAAAATATTGTTAATAGTTTTGTTTTATGTTATTTTTTGTTAAAACATAATTGGAAACCAAAGAAAAATTCCAAGTTTTCATTTCATTCATTTTTAGAATATTTTGTTTGGAATTGATTTCCATTTTTTTAATATTTATAAAAAAATATCGTGTAACTACATAACAGGGATTATATCAATAGTTCTTCCAAACCATAGCTGTAATAAGTATTATGCATTTTTATAATAATAAAAAACTCCATAGTAAATATTACATTTTTAGTCCTAAGTATATATTTTTTTAAAATAATTTTTTAGATTTAAGTATAACATCACATAGTGTAGTTATTTGTAATATGATTTTATCTCAAAATAATAGAAACAACAATTCCAAAAATAAAAGATTTAAGTTTTAAATAAAAAACATTAAATTAGTTCCATTTCTCACAAGGTACTTTGCATTGTTTGACGTTTGATGATATTAAGCAACTGGGCCACATATAATGTCATGTCAAGATGTGAAGGGAAGAAATATTATACACAAAATTTCACTATAGGTCACCGAACGAAAGAAATCGGTAGCTATAATATTTAACCCAGAAAAAATTAATAACAAATTGGGTACATAAAGGAAAAACAGTTATTGGGTATTTTTTTGACAATTTTTTAGTTGGGACCGAAATTTTTCCACTTTAGAGGGATGATGTTAATGGAAGAATTATTGTACATCAAATTTCACCGAACAAAATAAATCTGTAAGCCCAATATTTAACTATGAAAAAACTAAAAACGATTTGGTTACATAAAGGAAAAAATTGTATTAGGTAATTATTCGACCATTTTTGAGTTAGGACCAAATTCTTCTACATTACTTCATTTTAGAGGCTTGATGTCAGTGGAAGATAAATTCTACACCAAATTTCACTATAGGTCACCGAACAAACAAAATCTGTAGCTATAATACTTAACCCAGAAAAAATTAAAAACGGATTGGGTGCATAAAGGAAAAATTTAAAAATTCGACCATTTTTGTGTTAGGGCCAAATTCTTCCACATTACTCCGCTTTAGAGGCATGGGGCCAATGGAAGATAAATTCTAAACCAAATTTCAATATAGGTCATCGTACAAAATAAGTCTCTAGCTTTACTATTTAACTATGAAAAAACTAAAAACAAATTGAGTGCATAGAGGAAAAATTGGTATTGGGTAATTTTTCGACCATTTTTGAATTAGGGCCAATTTCTCCCACATTTTCCACTTTACAGGGATGATGTCAATGAAAGAAGTATTCTACACTAAATTTCAGTATATGTCACTGGACAAAAGAAATCGGTAGATACAATATTTAACTATGAAAAAATTAATAACAAATTGATATTGGATAATTATTCCACCATTTTTGAGTTAGGGTCAATTTCGTCCACATTACTTCACTTTAGAGGCATGGTGTAAATGGAAGATAAATTCTACACCAAATTTCATTATAGGTCACCAAACAAACGAAAACTGTAGCATCAATATTTAACTATGAAAAAACTCAAAACAAATTGGGTACATAAAGGAAAAATTGATATTGGGCAATTTTTCGACCATTTTTCAGTTAGGACCAATTTCTCCCACATTTTGCCACTTTAGAATGATGATGTTAATGGAAGAAGTATTCTACACAAAATTTCCCTACAGGTCACCGAACAAAAGAAATGTGTAGCTTCAATATTTAACCATGAAAAAAGTCAATAATAAATTGGACACACAATTGTGGGTCATTTTTAACCCTTTTTTGGTTTAGCAATCAAATTCTCCCACATCTCTCCACTTTAGAGGCATGTTGCCAATGGAAGATAAATTCTACACCAAATTTCACTATAGGTCATCGAATAAAAGAAATCTGTAGTATCAATATTCAACCGGAAAATCGTCTAAACTAATTGGACATTTAAAGAGAACAAATATTGAATCTCTATGCTACCTTATTTGAGTTAGGGTCAAATTTCTCCCAAATCTGTATACTTTAGCGCGATGATGCCAATGGAAGATAAATTCAACACAAAATTTCACTATGAGTTACCGAAGAAACAAAATCTGTAACTATAATATTTAACTATGAAAAAATTAAAAACAAATTGGGTATTTTCCTAACCTTATTTGATGGGATGATTTTGATACCATATTTTGTGTTTGGGTCAAATTCTCCGACATCTCTCTACTTTAGCGCGATGATGACAATTGAAGTAATATTCTACACCAAATTTCACTATAGGTCACCGAACAAACAAAATCTGTAGCTTCAATATTTACCTACGAAAAAATTAAAAACAAATTAAGTTTTCAAAGGAAACTATTTTTATATGATTTTGTTACCTTATTCGAATAAGATCCGAATTCTCCCACATTGCTCCACTTTAGGGGGATAATGCAAAAGGAAAAAATATTCTCCACAAAATTTCACTATGGGTCACCGAACAAACAAAATCAGTAGCTATAATATTTAAATAAGAAAATATCAAAAACAAATTGGGTATTTAAAGGAAAAAAATGCTTACCAATTGTCATTCCTTCATATGACAATGCTGAGCATGACAGAGAGTGTTCCCATTGGCAACACAGAGATACAAAGACGGCAACGACGACGTTGACGTTGAGAGCGACGTCTATTCATTTACTAATCGATCACACGAAAGCAGAGAAAGAGATACAGAGAGTGGGTGAGTGAGTGTGTACAGTACAAACATCTGTGGCGTCGACGCAGACGTTGCCGCCGCCGTTAGAAAACACACTGCACATAACGGCGCCATTAAAGGATTGATGCAAAACAAACGAAACGAAGCACGCATATATATGAATAAAACACTGAGAAAGTTTTGCAAATTTTGTTAATAATTTATTGAAATTGCAATTAAAAACAAACACACTTTATTAATTATCGATAGTATTTCACACATATAGGATTTTTTTCAATAAAACACCGACCGAAAGATTGTAAAACACGACACGGACCGAAACGTAAATTTGTGACATTTTGCCAAAACGAAAGCTTCAAACAAACTGAGTTGAAGCAATGGGACAGGGTCGCCAACACTAAATACATGTACACTTGTGAACTTATTTATAAACATTTACCGCCAAAAAAAATTATGTTTGAACAACATTTGAGGTTAGATTCGAAAAATATTGGTTTTTGTATATATAGAAGGCGAATACTGTAATTATTAGCTTGATTATATGAAGCAAAAGGTGGATTTATAAATGTAAACTATAAAAAAAACTATTTGACTTTATGTTAACAAAAAAAAACTATTTGAGGTTATGTTAACAAAATATTTGAGGTTAAATTCGAAAAATGTTTGGCAATTCAGAAAAACATCGCAAATTAAAAAAAATTGTGACACTTTGTGGGGGAGACACTAGAAGAAGTAGACCGATGGGTACCATCATCGGACTTGTTGAGGTTATGTTTAAAAAATATTTGAGGTTAAATTCGAAAAATATTTGTTTATATTTGGAGGACCATAGGGACCTAGAAAAAAATATTCTTTAAAAAATCCATGCCTTTTTGGACCTTGGAAACAAAATTCTTTAAAAAAATCCACGCTTTTGGGGACGTTTAAAAAATATTTTTTTAAATGAAAGAAAATACAAAAAATTTTATCTTAATTATATATTGCACAATTTATTTAAATAGATCAAATAAACAAATTTCAAAATTAATCGTAGCCTTAAAAAATAGTACATTTCTTTAAATGTAAAATTATATTTAAAAATATAATATTATATTATGCATCCATTATTATATAACTGAAAAATAAAAGGCCTACAAAATTACAAAAAAAGAAAACATTATTTTAAAAAATAATTAAAATATTCTTATGATGATATTGAATCTATTGGAAAAACAATAAGTACTGGATATAATTAATTTTTTCATAATAATCTCTAACTAAATAAAAAATACTTAAATAGTATTGGCAAAGTTTTTGTAAATCTTAATAATATTCATAATTTTTAAATTTATAGAAATAATATTACAATTTTTTTTTAAACTGAGCAAAATTGTTTTTTCTACTAAAAATAATTTATTTACATTTTTTGTTATTTTTTCTAAAACGTCTTCTCACTTAATCCACTCCTGATCGATTTGTTGCACGCCACCCATTAAATATTCCACCGTGAATAATCGTATTATCCTTGCCAAATTCTCGGTGGTGGTATAATCTATCACGGTCTCATTATCATCTGGTGTGTGCCATACGGTGGGAAATGGTACTGGGATAATGTGTAAAATCGGAACATTTCGCCTCAAAAACGGTATGTGATCATCCTCGATAAACGATGATCTCAAGGCATTGGGTTGGAAATAACGATTGGGATCGTGGGGCCGTGATACGCCACTGCTAACATAACGTTCCATTAAGCCGCTGTCCGCCAAACGATCTTCAATGCTTAGCAAACGGCTATACCATGATTCGGTATTGCTAAAGAAACTATAAAATTTCGGATCTGGCATGCCCAGCAAATCGAGTAGCACCAATAAATCCAATTTGGGTAGGAATCCTTCTTTTTCCCATTTTTTGGCCAAGTGGCGGGCACCATATATGGAATCCTTCGGACTCCATTGCTTGAAAGCCTCCTCTCCGTCGAAGAATATGAACATTAAACTAAGTTCGGAATCACGGAATGGCTGCAATTGTTTCTCCAAAACTTTGGCCAGATTTAACATCATGGCACAGGGTACTGCAGAATCTGTGGCACCTAAAAATTCCGCCTCCGGCATATATTTACTATCATAGTGGCATGCCAGAACCAAATAACGCTCCGCATTTGGATTCAAAGTGGCCACAATGTTATGGAAATGTAAGTGGCCAAATATGGGTACTGTGTCATGGAAGCTATGTAACTTCACCGACCACTGTAAATCTTTCAGAGATTTGACAATATATTTGCGCACTTTTTCATGTCCCGGCGTGCCCACAATACGTGGAATGAGAATTTCTTTAACGGTGTGTTTTAAATGTTTCACATCCGATAAATGGGCCACATCATGGAAATGCTGATGGGGTAACTCGTCCACATGATAGGGTTGCTGGAAAGAGACAAGGAAAATGAAAAAATTACAAATTTAATAAAAAAAATAAATCCATCGAAAATACCTGTTTCTGTCCCACCAAAAACTCTTCGCCCTCATTTTGGCCCTTGGCCGAAACTGATACCAATAAATATAGGACAATAACCCATAAATCGTTGGAGGCCATATCACACGGTGGGATTTGCCACGTTATCTGTTATGTTCCACTTAATTATAAATTACTGTCTGTTGGTTATCAATTGCGCTTTTTTGAAAAGCAAAACGTAGCAGGAAATTTCAACAGGTGTTTTAATCACGGGAGGGGAGTTACCGCTTCCACCAATTAAACTCTCTCACAAACTATTTAATAAATATAATTGTTGTTTTTGTAAACTATGCTCTCATTGGCCGGCACTTTATGTGTTTTTAATATTATTGTATTTTTTAAATAAACAATTTATCACAGACGCTTTTACTTTTCCCCCAACTCAAAGGAAACAGAACATTGCATGCACGTCATCAGCGACGCCGCCGCCTTTTTTGCCTTGAGCCAAGCAATGTAATGAACATGAATAACTTTGTCAACTAGTCATATTTCATTGTGTTATTTGCAATATTTAATAATTATTGTTGTTTTTATTTGTTTTTTGGTTGATAAGATTTCTAGGCACCATTTAATTAACAATAAAAAAACCAAACTCCGATTCAAGTGACTCTTCAAAAACATATGTTTTGATTTTCTCCCTTTTCCTTGTGTACGTTCTCTCTCTCTCACACTCTGTCATATATATACAGAGTTGTATTTTGTTAAAGCAAACGGTGCACAGTAGCCCAATGTGTAGAATTGAAACAGAAAAATGAATTTAAATTGAATAATATTAATTTAAATTAAATAATATTAAATTAATTAACAAAAATTACGAGAAATGATTGTTTTACAACAACAACATTCTTATTTTTATTGTAAAGCAATAATGACAATGTCAACAATTGATTACAAGGGTTGCTCAAAAAAATTTTCTTGAAGAAACATTTTTTTTTTAATGTCATCAAGGCGTGGATTTTTCAGAGAATATTTTTAAGGATTATTAAGGCGAGGGATTCTTTAAGGACTGTTTAAATGGTCCTTCAAGGCAAGGATTTGTTAAAGAATATTTTATTAAAAGGTACTTCGTGGCCTGGATTAAAAAAAAATTCTCTTCATCTTCCTTTAGGCGCAACACAATTTAAGACCTCAAATATACAAACCGTGAGGTCATCGAGCGATTGCATTGGGCACCATTTTGCAATTTGGTTATGTTAATATAAATTTCACCATCTTACAAATCGGAAAAGTAAAATTTCGGAACATTCCGAAATTCCGAAAATGGAGTCGAACCGTGGTTATGATGGTTATATCAGATGCAGGAATATCAAATTATTGTCACTTCGTTTGCGACCACAACTTTGAAAATTCAAAAATATACTGGATTTTTTTTTTGCGAGGAAGTTTTTCATCCCTCTAAGGACACGGAATTCATATAGTATCATAGAAATAATGAAAATGAAGCGGAGGACCTGTACATAGGAGGTGTGACAAAACATAAACCTATTGTTTTCTATGGCGCCCAACTGTGAGCTATACCAAAAGCCGGGAATATTCGCTTAAATTTTTTTACGAAGCGAATTATTTACCTATCGAGAACCTCAAATGCCAAATTACAGTCACTTTGACTGCAAATTGACGCCAAAATCCTTCAAAATCCGAAAATGAAACTGATCCGTTTTATTAGGTGGCTATACCAAAACTTGAATCCATATTGAAATATTTGTTAAAAATGCGTTTTTTTCTTCCTCCAAAAACCTGAAACACCAGATTATAGCTAATTCGCTTGCAAAATTCAGTTATAAACATTCAGAGCGGAACATAGAGTAAAAAAAATCCGCAAATATTTTATTCATCCTTTCAAGAAATTAAAAGGTCAAATTAATGGAAATTTAAAAAATATGGCTAAAATCTTTAAAATACGAAATGTGGCGCCCAACTGAGAGCTATACCAAAAAGGGGAATATACATTTAAATTATTCTACGAAGCAACCTAAAATGCCATATTACAGCCACATTGGCTGCAACTTGACGCCAAAAACCTTGGAAAATTCGAAAATGAAACTAATCTTACGTATTAGGGGGCTTTACCAAAACTTGAAGCTTTATAGAATTATTTGTGAAAATAAGTTTTTTTCTTGCTCCAAGAACCTGTAATGCCAGATTATAGTTACTTCGCTTGCAAAATACAGCTATAAACGTTCAGAGCGAAACGTATATTGAAAAAAAACCGCAAATATATTTTCATGAAGCCAAAAGGCAAAATTAACGGTACCACCTTTTCAAAATGGGGCTAAAAAATTCTAAATGCGGTAAAAAGTTGCGAACCTTTCTATTAGGGCTATATAAAAACGTGAACCTTTATTGACATTTTCCCGCAAAAAAGTTTTTTCGCCCTGTCAGATTCCGGAATTCCAAATTACAGACACTTCGCTTCCAAAACTGCACCCATGACAACAAAAAATCTCGAAAATGAAGTGGAAAGGGGGAAAAAAAATTTGAAAATTTTCCGCGAGTTATATATTGTATTTTTTCTCCCTCTTAGAACGGGAATTCCAAATTACAACCACTTCGATTCTGAAAATGCACCTTGGACACAAAAATATCTATAATGGACCATATATTTTTCACCTTCCAAGAAAAATTAACATTTTTTGAAAATGCAAAAACTAATCTGGTTTACATGAAATTTATGCAATCCGATCCGATCCAGTTTCAAAAATCGGTTACTTCCCCCAAATAAATAAATTTATTATTTTGATCAGGGTAAAAATACTTAACTCCGAAACAAAAACCCGCCCATTTTTATTAAACCCGAATTAAACCGAATTTTTTCCGACCATTCCGAATTCGTGAAAAATTTCGCCCATACATAGAGTTGCTGCGGTAATGCATGTTATAAAAAATTCCCAAACCTAAAGCAGCCTTCATTTATTATTTTAATCAGGGTAAAAATATTTTTTTTAAATTTTTCATTATTATTTAAAAACGAATTTTTTCCGACCATTCCTTAAAAAATAGCAACCATATACAGAGTTTTTTCCAAAAATGCAGGTTATAATAAAATCAGCTAACCTAAAGACCCCTTAATGTCTCTCTCCCCATTCCACTGTCAAATGTTTTCATATGCCACAGAGTTGTATTCTAACCATGTGTTGACCGACTTCTCAATGAAAACAAACAAACCACAAAAACTACCCCCCAACCACTATTGTCACACACACACAAACACGACGAAAACAAAAACAACAGCATGAACAAGCACAAACACACAAACTCATTGAGTACCCAAAATAAAACTAAAATTGTTCAAAACAATTGACTGCTTCTTACCAAATCATGGACCTCAAAGGCAGCACCCAAATTATAAATGAATTTCTTTTTGCTGGGCAAAAGATCCTGCAGGAAACTGGGGCAATTTTCACGAACTTGATCCAATAGCTGGCCATAGGATTTGGAGTATTGACGTAAATGGGGAATTAGGCGCATTTTTTGGAAATTTTTCAACTTAATTTTTCACACAAGCCGAGTACCAAACACCACCACCACCCTTCAATAGAAAAAATAGTACTGTGGGTAGATTGACAAATTTCTAAGAGTGAGCGGTTGGATAGATGAGAGGTAAGCAGCAGCAGAAATTGTTCAATTACGCAAGTTCAAAACCTGCTGGCATTCGGTTGCTGTAAACATTCTGAACAAAATACAATGTTTACAACAACATTGTCCCCTGCCACCCCTGTTCGGGGGCTTTACATCACAAAAATTTGTTGCTAAACATTTTCGGGATTTTGTTTAAAAAAAACTATTTAGAAACACAATTTATTGCATAGTGAAGAACAATAACAAAAAAGGAAAATATCTTAGGAATTATTTTTTTCTTTTTATAAAAAAAGGGGAATTATTTTTCATATTTTGCGATCTATACAATACTCTTAGCAGTCCATTCTTATCTATTATTCGTCTTTTTTTGCTTTATACACCTTAACTTAATCCGTTTTCGTTGAATCTTTACCGCCGAAATAGGCCCGGTAGATATACAAACCCAGTGCCAAATGCAATGCCAAAACAGCACCCACTGCCGAATAGATATTGGTGTTCAAATCCGTCAGGGTAAAGAAACGATCCAAGACCACAGCTTTCAGGCAGAAGAAAGTGGCAACGGGCAGGAAAACAATCAGCGAACAATAGAAGAATACAATTTTAAAGGAGCTATAATCTTTGGCGTCCTATAAAGGGGCAGAGAAAAAAGAAAAGAACAAAAAACATGATTGGTATTGTTTGTTTATGCCAAAGGAGAAAGTGTCGTGTTTGTCGTACTCACATCGGATCTTTGTTTCTTTAGTTTTTGTTTATTGCTGGCCGCCTCACCTGCGGAACTATTTAGTTTATTTTTATTGGCCATATTTTAATTAATTGTAGTTAAAAATACAAAAACAAGTTGTCCCAATTTTATTTTTTTAGTCTAATTGCAGATTGTTGTCAAAAAAAAGAATATATGACATTACACATTCCGGCAAGAGTAGTCAAGTCAATCAACGTCACATGATTAGGCAGTGCAGGGTTGTATTTTGTTTGGTTGGGGGGAGAGTAATTAGTCAATGATTTACTGTACGTAGTTAAGTGCCGTAAATGTGTAATAAAATGGGAAGGCATGGGAAAATGGTATTTTTTAATTGAAATAAATAGAAAATAGAATACATTAATCAAAAATATTAAATTAAATACTTAAAATAATATATTTCAATTATTTATTTATTTAAATTCTATTTAAAATTAATAAAAAAGTAAGAATTAAACGGTATTTATAACAGGATTTCATTGTGTTTGGTTGCTGGGAGAGTAATTAGTCAATGACGTATCGTACGTACAGAAGTGTCGTAAATGTGGTGGAAAATGATAAGGCATGGAAAAAAATTTAAATTTTTCAATGAAATAAATAAAAAAATTAATTTAAATATTCAAAAAAGTAATTTAATTTTTTTATTGAAATAAACTCCACTTTAAATTATTTTTTGTCTCAGGGGCACAAAACGACACAAAGAAAAGGGAGATTTTGTTGAAAATAATAAAAAATATAGCTCTGTAATGGTGCCCTATTATGTTATTATGCAAGTAAATGAATTGATATTTTATTTTTGCGGGGTAAATGTTCGGACCGTGTTATCTTTTCAAAGAGTTGACCACAGAGACCTTTATCCTTAGCAAATGCTTACGATTTATTTCAAAAATTTTTTTCGAATGATTTTATTATAATTTATCGTAAATTTTTTTCTATTAAAAATGTGTGATTTATCGTAAATTTTTGCCATAGAAAATGTATGGACATTCTCGTAAATTATTTCTTGATAAAATTCAGATCGTAAAATTTTATGCTTGACAAAAGTTTAAGATATATCTAATTTTTTTTCGAAGGATTTTATTGCTTGACTAAAGAAATTATAATTTATTCAAAATTTTTTTCTATAGAAAATGTAAACGATATATCGTAACTTTTTTTCTATTGAAAATTTTGCTATGTATCGTAAATTTTTTGCTATAGCAAAATTTATCTCGATTAAATTTCATTATAGAAAGTCGAGATATCGTAAAATTCTATATTTAGCAAATGTTAATGTTACGTCACAAAATTTTTGCGTAGGATTTTATTCCTTCACTAAAGAAATTATAATTTATCGTAAGTTTTTTTGAATAAAAAATTAATTTTTTCTATTCAATTTTTATTAAATGTTATTGCAATTTTTTTCCATGAAAAATTCTAGGATATATCGTAATTTATTTTTCTATGGAACATTTTTGCTATGTATCGTAATTTTTTTATCGATAATTAATCTCCTTTAAATTTCTTTGGTGAAAATTGAGATATCGTAAAAATTTATTCTTAGCAAATGTTTACGTTACATCTCAAATTTTTCGAAGGATTTTATGGCTTCACTAAAGAAATTATAATTTATCGTAAGTTTTTTGTATAAAAAATTTACGTGATTTATCGTAAATTCTTGCATATAGACTTTCTCGTAAATTATTTATTTATAAAATTTTTCAGATTTATCGTAAATTTTTTTTCTTCTTCGTCTAAAGCCACCTTAATATATAATAATTTGTTAAATTTTGAATTCCGCTTCGTTTTTTACAGTTAGACAGATAGTCAGTGGTTCTCAATAGAGTACCTATTTTTTGTGTCATGATATTCACATAGTGTAAAGCCAACTTAATATATTCGATATTAACTACTTTTTTGACCGTTTCGATAAATTTTGGACATTTCCGCTTCGATTTTTAAAGTTATTCAGATAATCAGCTGTTATATTTATTTTGCCATGATATTCCTGTCGTCTAAAGTCACCTTAAATAATCGGTATTAAGTATTTTTGACAGCTGCGCTAAATGGAGTAATTATTTATTGGAGTGCCATAACATTTCTATCGTCTAAAGCCAACTTCATTTTTTGACAGTTAGTCAGATAGTCAGCTGTTCTATTTATTGTGCCATGATATTCCTGTCGTCTAAAGTCACCTTAAATCATCGGTATTAAGTATTTTTTGCCAATTTTTTTAAATTTTGACATTTCCTTTTCGTTTTTTTTACAGTCGTATAGTCAGCTGCGCTAAATGGAGTAATTATTAATTGGAGTGCCATGATATTTCTATCGTCTAAAGCCAACTTAATATAAACCATATGAACTATTTTTGACCGTTTTGATACATTTTGACATTTCCGTTTTTTTACAGCTAGTCAGATAGTCAGCTGTTCTATTTTTTTTGACATCATATTGCTGTCGTCTAAAGTCACCTAAAAATATCGGTTTATTTTTTATTTTTGGCAGTTTTGTTAAATTTTTGACATTTCCTTTTCGTTTTTTGTTGATAGTCTGATAGTCAGCAGCGCTAAATGAAGTAATTATTTATTGGAGTGCCATGATATTCCTATAGTCTAAAGCCACCTTAAGATAAGTGATATTAACTATTTTTGGCCGTTTTGATAAATTTTGGACATTTAATTTTCGTTTTTATTTTGCGCGAAATGGAGTAATTATTTATTGGAGTGCCATGATATTTCTATCGTCTAAAGCCACCTTAATATATGCAATATTAACTATTTTTGGCCCTTTTAATGAATTTGTGACATTTCCGCTTACTTTTTAAATACTTTTTTTTTGATTTTTATTATAAAGTAATTATTTTTATTATTATATTCTATTATTAAAATAAAAATAATTTAAAACTAAAATAAATTTTTAAACTAAATTTCAATATCGACAAAAAATAAAAAAAAAATCGTACCAAAATATTCCATCCATCATCTATTTGTACGATTATCAACTATTTTTAGCTTTTTTTCCATCATTTGTAAATGGTTGGCTTGCTGGCCGACTGTTGGCGATGGTATCCAACGACCGAGCCAGCGAGAGACCTTCTGTTCAGTTCACTTAAGTGGCTCGAACCGTGAGGAACGTAACAATTTCAGTATAACGGCGAACAGCAGCACTTAGAGTTTGAATTTTTTGATTTTCTCTCTGACTCTCTAAGTTACACATAAACAACAACAGCAACAACTACAACAAATGAAAAAAGTGAAGTGATATATAACAAAAGAAGTTTATATACAAAAAAAATATTGAAAAAATATAAAATATTCAAAGCAAAGTGTTCAAGGAATTAAAATTTTGTGGAAGCGCAATTTTTTTTTCAAAGTAATACAAAAAATTATTTTTATTAAAAAAATCTGCTAGCTTTTCAATGTGAAGCTGCTGTGTAACTCTAATTTACGCATTAACGAAACGAAAAATCGCTTTTCTTTGTTTGTGGCCAAGAGGCAGGCACAGGAAAAACAACAAAAATTTTTGTTAGAAAATCAATTATGTTCCCCCTTGAATTTCCCTTCCCCTCGCCACAGCCTATTCTCATTGGACCTTTTGATGGCCCCAAGCACAATAGCCTTTCTTTTATAGGCACTTTTAGTTTTATTTTCCAATAGCCTTGCTATTTATAGGATTTTTTTCTGTCTCCTTTCCGTTTTCTAATTAGAAAACTAAAGGCAACAACAACAAAAAATAACAAACATTAATTTTATTTGAATACACACATAAATATATACATTTTTCTTTTAAACTACAAACATATTGATGCAATTAAAGCCAAAAATAACAACAACTATTCTGTTTTCTTTTTTTGTATACATTTTGTTGTTATTGTTTTAGTTTATAATAATAACAATAACAACAACAATAAATCAAAATCCATCTCCGTTGTTACAATAGGCAGAACACAGCAAGCCAGCCACTCAAAATTTCCTGTTTCCAAAAAGTGCCCGAAAAGCAAATTTGCAACATGGTTTGTTGTTATTGTTAATCGTGTTTTATTCTGTTTGCAATGGGAGAAAATTCAAAAAGTATTGTTTGCCCAAAACAAAAAGTGCCCAAAATCAACAAATATTCAAAAAAAGACGTTAAATATTAAAAGCAAGGGCCCTTTTTGTTCTAATTTTTTCCATTTACAAATGACCGTCTGTCTGTCCAGTCATCCGGTGCGCACGATGTCTTTCGAAAGAAGTAACCGATCTCATCCAAACTTAGCACATCATCACATTTTTTCCAAATTTAAATCAAGTTCGGAGATAGAGAAACCTTCTGTGTCGAAATTTTTTCATCTTATATCAGATGAACGGAATGTCTGATTCAAACTTTCTACCTACTTTTACCAAACCTAAATCAAGTTCGAAGATGGGAACCCACGGGTCATTACTTCAGGTCAACATTTTAAAAGGTTGTAAATATTGATTTGATGCATTGATTGTATATCATAATATTTCACCAAATTTGCATTTAATCCGAATATGTGGCCTCTATGGCATAACCCTTTGATAAAAACATGTACCTTATATAAAGCGAATGGTAAATAATGTGTGGTCTAAACATGAAAGACCTTAATACTTATACTTAATATAAATTTTGGTGCAATTATCGGTCACAATATAATAAAAAAGTTCAACCTTGGCTATAGAGTGTAATTTCAAAAACCTAGATTCAGGGTATATATATGTCGAAAACCGATAGAATGACCTTAAATAATCGCAGGAAGCGGAGCAGAATATTCAGACGTGGCTGACCATAAAATACCCTACACACAAACACACTAAATACACATTTTCAGTCACCACATATGAACATTTTGGTATATCCGACTACATACGTCAAGATAGTTGAAATGATTTCAAAGTACAAATTATTTATTTTATTTCATATGTTCGTGGAAAAAACATGTCCACCATAGAATGACATGATCTTCGATGCCCAGTTCCTCTTTCCGGTTAAATTACATGGTTTTCAGATCATACATATGGTCTATAGAGCGATTAGAACCAAACATAAACATCCATGATTTTTTCCTGTGTAAAGTTTAGTCTTGTTCGGGTCATAATTGTGATCTCGAGAGCGACCAGAATACAGACAAAAGTAAAGTTTTAGATCCATTTGAGCATATAAGAGTCGTCTTTGGATAGAACCTGATCCACATACAAATGGCGATTAATCCATACAAATTATAATGGACATACAGGCGGAAAAACAGGTCTAAATCGAATCAGCTAGTCGAAATATATCGGCGGTCTTGGAGCAATTATTTCGCAGTTTTACAAATTCTTGGGACAATAAAATTTCTCACAACATATTTGTGTAGGGTAAACAAATATATACAAAAATTTAAATGTTCCGCAAACGAAAAAATGCCCAAAATCCGCCCAAGTCCAAAATTTTAAATTTTTTATGCCCATTTTTGGGCATAAATGCCCACTTTCGGCAACACTGATTGTTGGAGCAAACCAAAACAAACCAAATTTTCAACAGTCTCCAATAAAAAAACGTCGTAAATTGGCAAAAATCATACATGTTGTTGTAATTGTTTTAGTTTATAATAATAAATAACAACAACAATAAATCAAAATCCATCTCAGCTGTTATAATAGGCACAACACAGCAGGCCAGTTAGCCACTCACTGTTAGCCCCCCTTTATGGTTTGTTGTTATTGTTAATCGTGTTTTATTCTGTTTGCAATGGTTGAGAGACAGATGTGAGCGCCCGTTAGATGGAGAGAGAGCTCGCGCGTCTTGTTGGAGCAAACCAAAACAAACCAAATTTGCAACAGCCTGTCCGTGAGAAAACATTGCAATAAGAAAACGTCGTAAATTGGCAAAAATCAGCTGTCTATCCCCAATATAGGCATATGTAGTTGTTTATGGGAGGGGGAGGGGGGTGAGAAGACGAGGTATTATTATAAACAAAAACAAAATAAAAGGTAGAGATGTCGTGTTGTGGGGAAAAAGAAAATAAAATGGAGGGAAACATTGGGGGTTTATTGAAGAAAGGAATTAAAAAATAAATAAATTGGGAATTAATCAAGACAATAAAAATGGAGATGCCATATTAGAGGGAAAATAAGGAATGAAAAAAGAGATGCCATATTAGAGAGAAAACAAGGAATGGAAAGTAAAATGGGGATATTAACAACAAAATTGAGTTGTGTTGAAGAGAAGATAGATTTTTTAATTATATTTTTCTTACACCTAACCCTCAGCCACAAAATCTGCAACTGGAGTGCTCAACCGTCCTAAATTAAAATTTTTATTAAAAAAATAAATTAACAAAAACAAAAAACTCAGCTGTTCAACAAAGAAAAAAAGAGTTTTTAAATAAAAAAGAAGAAAAAGGTGAAAACGAAACGAATTTTTTTGCAAAGAGATCAAAAAAAGTTTTAAATAAATCTACAACAACAACAACAAAAAAAGAAAAGAAAGCAGTAACATGCCTTTTATCTCAAAAGATTGGCGTTCACCCGGCGAGGCATGGGTCAAGACTGATGAGGGCTGGGAGCGGTTAAAGGTGCTCGAATGCGGTAAACGTAAAAGGTAGGTAGAAGCAAACAACGCGGTTTGAGTAATTTAATTTATTGTTAAGATTTTGTAAATAAAACATTACTATCCATGATATTTTAGTCAAAAACATTGTTATCGATAACAATTACTTTAAAAAATATTGTTATCGAAAATATTTTATATAAAACATTATGTTATCGTTAAGATTTTGTAAGAAAGACATACAAATTGATAATATTTTTTGTGAAATCGATTGTTATCTATAACAATTATTTCTGAAAATATTGTTATCGAAAATATTTTGTATAAATAATATTGTTATCAATGATAACTTCGTTATAAAAATATGTTATCGATAATATTTTTATAGAAATTAGTGTTATCGATATTATTTTTGATATACAGTATTGTTATCGATGTTATATTCAAACAAAATATTGTTATCGATTCAATTTTTTTTTTTAAATTAGTGTTATCTGTAGTGTTTTCTATAATAAATAGAGTTGTCGATAGTTTTTTTATATAGAAAATATTGTTATCGATGATGTTGTCTACAGAAAATGTTGTTATCGACATTGTTTCCCATAGGAAATATTGTTATCGATAAAATTGTCCATACAATTTAGTTTTTCTAAAGAAAAAAGCGTTATTGATATTATTTTTGATAAATAGTATTGTTATCGATGTTATTTTCAAACGAAAGTATTGTTATCGATACAATTTTCCCTTAGAAATTAGTGTTATCGGTAGTGTTTTCTATAGAAAATAGAATTATCGATAGCATTTTTGAATTAAAATATTGTTATCCATAGTATTTTCCGTTGTTATCGATAAGATTTTGTATTTAAAATATTAGGAAATTTTGTATTTTTCTATAGTAAATATAGTTATCGATAAGATTGTGTATTGAAAATATTTTCTGTAGAAAATATAGTTATCGATAAGATTGTGTATTGAAAATATATTTATCGATAAAGTTTTGTATTGAAAATACACTTATCGATAATTTTTTATATGGAAAATATTGTTATCGATAATTTTTCATGTAGATAATGTTGTTATCGATACTATTTTTAAAGCAAAATATTGTTTTCGATAATATTTCCTATATAAATTAGTGTTATCGATAGTGTTGTCTATAAAAAATATTGTTATCGATAACATTTTGTATTGAAAATATTATTATATTAAAAATATTGTTATCGATAATTTTTCTAATAGAAAAGACTGGAATAGATAATTTTTCAAATGGAAAATATTTGATCAATACTATTTTCCACAGAAAATATTGTTATCGGTAAGATTTCCTTCCAAATATGTTGTTATCGATACTATTGTCCATAGAAAATTCTGTTATCGTTCATATTTTCTGTAATAAATAACATTATCGATCTCATTTTTTAACAAAAAAAAACATTGCTATCGATCACAACGTGACATAATTTCCATCCTCCTCCCCCTCCTTTACAACATTTTATTTCCCATGATTGTAATTATTATCGTTTTTATAACAACTTTTACTCTCACACACACACACCAAAAATATTTCCCAAATACCGCTCGATGTGTGTGAGTGTGTTTGTCAGTGTTTTCCGGGTTTATATCATGCAAAAGGTGGCATTTCCACATTTAGAAAAAAATAGCTAGACTCAAATTGAATTCAATGAAAAAACAAATCGACTCACAGCAACTGTTACATGACGATGACTTAAGCTAGTGTAGTGGCTTTTAATATACAAAAAAAAATTTTTGTGACTTTTTCATGTAAACTCGTCTCGTCGTCTCCTACGATGTGAGCCAATAGTTCAGTGGGGCTTTGTGTTTTTGTTGTTCGCACAGACTGACAACCTGTCAATCATAATTTCTAATTTTTCCGAATGTGCATTTTTTGTTGTTGGTGTTGTTGTATTCATTTTGCAGAAATAATGTAATATTTTTTTTTTGTGGTGGGGTATGAGTGACATAACATTTTAGGATTTGTTGCAATTTATCGAGGGGGTTATTTTGGTATTTTTAATAGAAATCATTGTTATCGGTTTTTTCTATAGAAAATATTGTTAACAGTAGTATTTTCAGTAGAAATTATTGTTATCGATAATATTTTTTATAGAAAATATTGTTATCGATAGGTTTTTGTATTAAAATTATTGTTATCGATAATATTTTTCATAGAATACATTGTTATCAGTAGCATTTTCTATAGAAAATATTGTTATCGACAGCATTTCCTATAGAAATTATTGTTATCGATAATAGTTTTTATAAAAAACATTGTTATCGATAAGTTTTAGTATTAAAATTTCATAGAATACATTGTTATCGGTAGCATTTCCTATAGAAATTATTGTTATCGATAATAGTTTTTATAAAAAACATTGTTATCGATAAGTTTTAGTATTAAAATTATTGTTATCGATAATATTTTTTATAGAAAATATTGTTATCGACAGGTTTTTGTATTAAAACTATTGTTATCGATGATATCTTTCGTAGAAAACATTGTTATCGGTAGCATTTTCTATAGAAAAAAATGTTATCGGTAGCATTTTACAGAAAATATTGTCATCGATATTATTTTTCATAGAAAATATTATTATCGAAGTTATTTTCTATAGAAAATAGTATTATCGATAATATTTGCGATAAAAAATTGTTATCGATAATATTTTGTATCGAAAATAATATGATCGATATCATTTCTATATATATATATATATATTGTTATTCCTACTATTTCTTTAAAAAATTGGGTTATTGATGATATTTTCTATATAAAATATTGTTATCGGTAACTTTTTTAGTTGAGGAATGTTTTTATCGACAATTATTTATATAGAAAATAGTGTTATCGTTAATAATTCCTTTAGAAAATATTGTTATCGATACTATTTTCTACAGAAAATATTGTTATCGATAATATTTTCTACTATTTTTTGCAGAAAATAAAGTTATCGATAAAATTATGTGAAGAAAATGTTGTTATCGATATTAATTTCAATAGGAAATATTGTTATCGATATGGTTTTCTATAGAAAATATTGTTTTCGTTAAAATTTTTTGTAGAGAACGTTGTTATCGACAATGCTTTATATATAAAATAGTGTTATCGTAATACGTTCTATAGAAATGTTATTGATACTATTTTATATACAAAATGGTGTTATCGATAAATTATTTGAAGAAAATTTTGTTATCGATATTATTTCCAATAGGAAATATTGTTATCGGTAAAAATGTTTGCAGAGAATATTGTTATCGATAATGTTTTCTATAGAAAATGTTGCTATCGATACTATTTTCTATAGAAAATAGTGTTATTTTTCATAGAAAATATTCTTGTCGATATTATTTTCTATGAAAATTAGTGTTATCGATAGCTCTTCCTAAAGAAAATACTGTTATCGATATTATTTTCTATAGAAAATACGATTATCGATATTATTTCTTATAGAAAACGTTGTTAACGATAAAATTATTTGAAGAAAATGTTGTTATCGAAACTATTTTCTACAGAAAATGTCGATATATATATTATTTTCCATATAAAATATTGTTACCGATATTATTTTCCATAGAAAATTTTTATTTATTTTTATTTAAAAAAATGTATCTTACCACTGAACTCAAATCCTCTACAAAAAACTACACAAAAAATACTGAACGTTAATTTGTAGCCCAGCGTGAAATTAATTTGTTTTTTTTTCTTTTTTGTTTTCGAAAAAAAGTGTGAATGTAATTTTTGAACGGGTTTCCGTAACGCATGAACTTCTTTGTTTCAGTTTGTTTTGTTTTTTTTTATTTTGGCCATATCTTTTTGTTTCAGGCCCACCTCACCAAAACACATGTGTGGCAAGTGTATTGGACGCGTTTGTTTGGTTTTTTATATCATTTTGACTATACAGTCCGCTTTATCTTCACCCCTGGTGTATTGCATTTTATTTTATTTATTTCCAACCAGCCATTCATCCATCCATGAATGAAGGAATGACTGGCTGACTGATTGGGGTATGAATAGACAGACAGACGTGTAATATGGTGAAATAGATTTGCTGGAATTTTCATAATTTAATTTTTAATCAGACAGACAAACGGACAGGTTGGTTTAGTCACTACCAAACAAATGGAAACCTCAATCCGATCGAATTAAAAAAAAAAAATAGTTAATAAAAATAATGCAGATTGTTTCTTTTGTATCTCTTTTGTGAATGGCTATTTGGTAATCTCCCAATTTTTTTCCATTTAAATTAAATAATTTTTGTTTTTTTTTTTAATTCAAATCATTTCTCGTTTTTTTTATAATTTAATTTTTCCCTCTAGCCATATTGCAATTATCAGAGATCTGTCTCTTTGTTTAGTTTTGCTAGGCTCACTCACACAGCTGACATTTGACAACTTGACATTTAAAGACTCACACACAAAAAAACGAATGAGTCCACAAATACTATTTCTTCTTCTGCTTCTTTGATTAATTTTTGACATTGAATAGACAGGCATTTGGTTGGAGATTCCTTTTCCAATTAGAAATAGACAAATTCTTTTTCCAACTATGCCTGCATATCCGTTATACCACTGATATGACAGTGGAAGAAAAAGAAGAAATAAAAAGCAATGCCAGCCTGTCTTATCAGCTGTTTTATGCAACAATTTGCCAACAGAGCAATACAGATGTAGTAGTTGTTGTTATTGTTGTTGGATGGTGCAATAAGGATAATATGTACTATGTACATATACTATATATATATACACTAAATGAAAAAAAAATAACAACAGCAACAAATGCAGCATTTGACAAATGACAGTCACAGCAGACTACAACGAAATGAGAAAAAGAGAGCAATCACTGAGTTTGAGTGGTAGAGTAGTGAACAAAGAAGAAGAGATAAAAGGGAAATACTTTGGTTGTTGTTGGGTTTTCCCATTCTTTTTTTTTCAATTTCATAAAAACGAGGTGAAGGTTTCCAAAAGTATAGACACATACATATATAAATATAGTAGTATATGAATATATGTATATAAATATGTACAAGTTTATA